TCGGGAAGCGGGAGCTAGCAGCGAGCTAGAGCCACTCGCTCCCCACAGCCGCCATGTTCAGGCTCCTCCCTCAATCTGCTGAACACGTTCAGTTTTTACTGATGATAGAAACATGTCTAAGAATGTAAATTGAATAATGAAAGTGTTGCTCTACTCCATAATAATGCCTTAATACATAAATATGTAATTTATAATACTCAATTCTTAAAATACTCTGTGCATATAAATCATATAAATGAATACAATCCCAAAGACAAATCAAAGTCCATATCCACATATATTGTGACCATGCTCCAATTATCTTCAGCAATAGGTGTTATCTTCAGTGATCACGAAATAACTGAATGCATCACCAACGTGTCCCACCACCACACTTAAGGATGGCCGCTCACCAGGACCTATATACCAAAACATACGGGTCTCATGCGCTTGATTAATTCCGTTCTAGGACTCAAATGGCAGTAAGACCTCCTGCTGTATCTTTCTCCACAGTGGTAATCGTTAATCGACAGTCAGCGGTGCCTTTATTACTTCTCCTCTCAGCAAAGGAAAAAAGCCTCCAGTAGTGTAATATTGTTTATTTTAAATATTAAAGATAAAATTTGACAAATACTCACTCACAAAAGTAAGAAGTCACAAGCATATTGTATCTACCCGGACCTCCGGTCCGCGACTCCGTACCCGAAAGTGACGTCTCCGCTGAGTGGAGTAATGGGACACCCCTCCAAATCATTGGATTCAGCTGTTCCAATCACCTCCATGGCCACAGGTGTATAAAATCAAGCACCTAGGCATGCAGACTGCTTCTGCAAACATTTGTGAAAGAATGGGTCGCTCTCAGAAACTTAGTGAATTCAAGCGTGGTACCGTGATAGGCTGCCACCTGTTCAGTAAGTCCATCCGTGACATTTCCTGGCTACTAAATATTCCACGGTCAACTGTTAGTGGTATTATAACAAAGTGGAAGCAACTGGTAACAACAGCAACTCCATGAAGTGGTAGGCCACATAAAATTATAGAGCGGGGTCAGCACATACTGAGCGCACAGTGTGCAGAAGTCGCTGTCTGCAGAGTCAGTAGCTAAAGACCTCCAAACTCCATGTGGCCTTCAGATTAGCACAACAACAGTGCGTAGATAGCTTCATGGAATGGATTTCCATGGCCGAGCAGCTGCATCCAAGCTTTACATTACCAAGTGCAATGAAAAGTGTAAGATGCAATGGTGTAAAGCACACTGCCACTGGACTCTAGAGCAGTGAAAATGTGTTCTCTGGAGTGACAAATCATGCTTCTCTGTCTGGCAATCTGATGGACGTGTCCGGGTTTGGCAGTTGCCAGGAGAACGGTACTTACCTGACTGCATTGTGCCAAGTGTAAAGTTTGGTGGAGGGGGGGGATTATGGTGTGGGGTTGTTTTTCAGGAGTTAGTCTTGGCCTCTTAGTTCCAGAGAAGGGCACTCTTAAGGCATCAGCATACCAAGACATTTTGGACAATTTTATGCTTTCAACTTTGTGGGAACAGTTTGGGGATGGCCCCTTCCTGTTCCAACATGACTGCGCACCAGTGCACAAAGCAAGATCCATAAAGACATGGATAAGCGAGTTTGGGGTGGAGGAACTTGACTGGCCTGCACGGAGTCCTGACCTCAACCCCATAGAACACCTTTGGGATGAATTAGAGTGGAGACTGTGAGCCAGGCCTTCTCGTCTGACATCAGTGCCTGACCTCACAAATGTGCTTCTGGAAGAATGGTCAAACCTTCCCATAAACACACTCCTAAACCTTGTGGACAGCCTTTCCAGAAGAGTTGAAGCTGTTATAGCTGCAAAGGGTGGGCCAACGCAATATTGAGAAAAAGAGAGGAAGGCGCCTCTAAGTGCAGTATTGACAATTTTTTTAGTAAACAATGGATTAATTGCACTTACAAGATAAATAGTTAAAAAGACTCATTGTGTGGTAATTAGATCCAGGTGGGACATCCAGCCGTCCAGCAGCAAACTCTGTCTATAGGATCAGGAAGTAGAGTTCAGGATGTGCCTGTGCATCAAAATGAAGCTACGAGAGCAGAGTTGGATGTAGGAGGTGAAGGGGGCGGTAATGCATTTTGGAGCATGCTCAATAGGCTCCTTCTTCAGACCTGAAGTAGAACCCTGACATTTTTATAGTGTGAAGGGAATGGGAGGGAGGCAAGTAGTTCCATGATAAATCCACTGACAGTCTTAGTGTGTGGATCACTGAAGGAATGAAACGGGACCTCCCTCTGGCAGAGCGCTTTATGCGTCTCTGTCAGAGGGAAACTTTTTAGATCTACACCTTGGATGTGTTATCCCCTGGTGGCCTAAATGAAGAGCTTGAAATAATCGCCATTTTATAGAGACATTCGCTTCCTTCCAAATGGTGGTTATAAATATCAACACAATATCCTTATACAGCTGTTTGTACTTTATCACTAGTAGTCCTTTCCTCCAACAAATGTAGGTATATCCCTTCCTTATCCCTCTCTCACTTAACGATGATCCTTTTTAGTACATCACAAAGGGATAACAGGGAGATACATAAAATTCACATACTATCATAGCAAGCCCATTTATTAAAATGTGTTTTTCTAACTTTGTTTTTAATCTTGCTTTTATATTTATTTCTATAAATGTTTTATTTATGGTACAATAATCTACCTTTTTCATTATCTCATTGATTTATTATTATTAACATTTATTTTCAACTCCATTGTTCTATTCTATTTATTTTTAGATTTAATTTAATTGTAATTTTCTATTTCCCTTCTATCGAATATGCCATTTTTTTAGATATATGTATACATACACACTCGTATACTTTTTACACCCAAAAGCATTAGAGCAATTCTCTAGTCTGTTTTTATATCTTTTTTATACCTGTATTATTCCTGTACTATGCAGGAAAACATGTAGGTCCTTAGGACCCAGGAACTACTTGCCTCCCTCCCATTCCCTTCACACTATAAAAATTTCAGGGTTCTACTGGGGCTCAGGTCTGAAGAAGGAGCATATTGAGCATGCTCCGAAATGCATTACCGCCCCCCTTCACCTCCTACATCCGACTCTGCTCTCCTAGCTTCATTTTGATGCACAGGCACATTCTGGACTCTACTTCCTGATCCTATAGACAGAGTTTGCTGCTGGACGGCTGGATGTCCCACCTGGATCTAATTACCAAACAATGAGTGTTTTTAACTATTTATCTTGTAAGTGCGATTTATCCATTGTTTACTAAATAAATTGTCAATACTGCACTTAGAGGCGCCTTCCTCTCTTTTTCTTGTTACTGCATTAGAGCCTTGCTTCCACTCTAAGAAGAGCTGCCTCCATGTTACTGCTCCCATCCATCCATCCATCCCTAATATCCATCTGGCACCTTTATCCTACAGCTACAGAGGTTGGGCTCCAACAAGCACGCCCTATATAATATACAACTCAATATTGAAGCTGACGGACTAAAACTAGAATGCCATTAAAGTTCATGTGCATGTAAAGGCAGGCATCCCAATACTTTTGGCAATATAATATATATGTAATACATGGCAAAGGATTTCCAAAGCACTATGCACTAGCCCTACTGTATAGTTAAAGGGACAGCATTTTTACTTTACTCCCTGAGCACTACATTTTCATTTTACAGTTAAGGAAACAAAGGTTGCACCATACCTGGGCAGAATGGGCAATGAAGACTGACATTTAGTATGATTGCAGTGTATAAGTCATTGTGAACCTAAGTACAAATGTGATGATGCCGCTCATGCTCCTAGAGAGGATACCAATCAATTGTCAAAAACTGCTATGTGTAAAGAGCAGCTGGGCAGCTGCGGTTGAAACGGAGCTCATCCAAGCTCCGAAAGCATCAGCATGTAGTGAAGTACACACTCAGTTCTTCATTAGGGTAAAACATTTTATGTTGGCACATGTGCGGCTTGAGGGACCTCTCCTTCACTGCATAACTAATACTGATGTAGAAACCTATATTTCACTGGCTGTCATTGGATGTTCTACCTCCAACAGGTGAAAATTCAGCCTTCAGCATTATATTCGGCCACTCAACTGATGGAGCCGGTAAAAAATTTACTGTTTTACAGAAACTAGAGACTGTTTTTACAGAGAGAGTTTTTATAGTTTAATAAAAAAAAAAATACCCATAATTCTGAGAGAAAGGGTAGAGATGTCTCTTGGGAATTCAGACTCCATCTTAGCGACTGGGAGAGAAGGAGCCAGCTATCAGAACACATATTGAACTGGAACCTGCATCTTTTTGCATTCCCTACCAGGAGCATCGCTGGTGAGAATCACTTATCGTCATCTATAGCCTAACTATTCATTGTGTTTTCTGTACGTTCCTACACTGATTGTATGTATTTCTCATCTGTTTTTTTTTCCTAATAGTTTTACCACCCTGTTTTGTTAACAAAGCTTCAAGATTACACTCAGTCTAGTTTATTGCAGAATAGGCGGGTTTAGCTGCATGTCAAGCTACATGCAAGGAAACGTGTAGTCAGGACAGAACATTGGGTATTTCTCTATTGTTGATATCTTACAGTACATATATATTTGTTGTTAAAGCTGTAGTAAACCTCAAAAAAAAAAAAAAAAATGAAAAATTGGGACCCTGCAGGACAATGTTATAATGTGCTAGTATGCATCACACACTTGCACACTATGAGAGACTTATCTTAAAATGGATTCCTCCAGCGGCGCACTGTCCCTGACAGGGCTTCCATTTTCACCCGGTCTTCCTTCCAGGTTCATGGGATCTGGATGCTTGAACGGCTGAGCCACAATGACATCACTTCCGTGCATGTGCATGGGAGTCACGGCCGGAGTACAACTCTCTCCATGGACAGCATGTCGTCCATTGAGAGTGCAGTGCACATATGCTGGTGATGTCACATGCTGCTACTAAAGTACATATCTCCTAAACGTTGCCTTATTATTGGCTTATCTGAGGGTATAAATAAAAACGTGGAGTTTACTACTGCTTTAACCTCCCTGGCGGTATTCCCGAGTGAAGCTCGGGGTAAAGTTTCCGTACCACAAGCGGTAACCCTGAGCTACACTCGGGAATACCATGCGGCGCTGCTCCGGGATCCCTCTTGCTCTTACCTTGTCCTGCGCTCCCGCGATGTCCCTCCTGCAGTGTCCCCGGCAATGTCCTCTGGCGGATGCCGGCATCTCTCATCTGGGTTCCGTTCCCTGCGAGCATCGGGATGTACAGGGGACGGAACGGCAGAAAATTTGAAAATGACAAAAAGGGACATTCACTAAATTCACTAAAATCACATAGTAAAACATTCCTGTATCAAACCATTTCACATACATTTTGTCCCGAGTGCTTTGTCCTGTGCCCTGCCTGCATTTTTACTGTTCTTTCTGCCTGGAAACTGAGAAACGTCCATGGCGTCCAAAAAGCGTCCCTTTAGGTCAAAAGCGGTTTTAGACCGGCTAGAGAACAGCGATAGTAAATCAGAACCACTTGCAGAATTGAGTGATAATGATTCGTGGGGAAATTTGTCATCTGACACTGAAAACGATTTTGCGACTTTGCTCAGTGATGTGCGAACTTGGCGCTATATTTCAAATTTCAGTGTTTTTGGTTTGATTATATTATTGAATTAAATTTATTATTATATTATTATTTTTTATTATTATTTATTAAATTATAATTTATGATTTCGTGTTTTTCAAGTTTTATCATACCCGGGATGATTACTAGACTCTTGTTTGGACAGATTTCAGTGAGTTATTCCTAAAAATTACAGGCCTACAATATAAAACGCCAAATTTCCATGCAAAATAATGGTACCGCTTTCAGCACCAAAAATCTAAAATAATCATAACGCCAGGGAAGGTAAGAAAGGAAGGAAGGATAGAAGAAAGCAGTATAATTACTCTCTATGTAATCTGGTCTGAAACCCTGCCGCCAGCACATTCATCAAAAAATATCTTCCCATAGGATTAAATGTACATTTAAAGGCTACCTCCACCTTATGGACCATTGACCATGTTACAGGAGTTTTCATTCAGCTCTAGGAAGATGCAGAACCCCTGACCTCTGTCTGGACAGTGCTTATTGGCCCTGTGCTGATCACATGCACTCTCCCAAGAAAAAAAAAAAAACCCCTCTCTAGCAATACACACCAAACTGGGCATGTGCAGAGTGACTCCACAGATATGCCTTATCAGGAGCTAAGAGGGAGACACTGGAAGAAGGGGAGAATCAGAGAAAACAGGATCAAACAGCCTTCTTACACAATCCACAGTGAGTATAACAAGCATGCTTTACTGCATATACAGACTGATTTTACTGTTGTGGGTTTAGTAACACTAAACTAGTCATTCTTGTCAGTGGTAAATGGTTTGTATCATCCCTGTAATTGATATATTCTGCTGGAGAGCTTTTTTTCTTTTGAAAAACAACAGACTTACTGGCTGGATCACTAGATGAAAATAGAAGAAAGAAAGCCTAAAAAAGACAACGAATGCAGACATCACATCCTGGAAATGCTAAGCTGCAAAATATTAAATGTTTTCTTTTGGGTTTAATACTGCTTTAAGTTGGTGACAACGATAGCCTACCAATACATTCACATAGGGAATACAGACTGTGATTGTAGAGCTGAAGGTGGCACTTGTGATTCTGGCATGGTACTATATATATTTAAACCCAAAGTATTTTCATAAAACAGGATTCAATTGCTACCATACAGTCAAAAGGTTTATGGGACATTACTGTATTTATTTCTTGATATGAAATAAGTGAGCCTGCCAAAATGATTCACGTTACACAAGTATGACTGATTTTTGCCCAGAGTTCTCCTTCAAATGTCATTTCAGAACATCTCTGGTGGATGGTTTTTGTTGGAGGGGGGTTTGGGCTGTACAGTAAAATACTTTCCTTGTTTGTTTCTAATGACCATACAGGTTGATTGTAGAAAGGCAATGAGCACTGTACTGGAAAAAATCAATTTGCATTCACAGTCTAATTTTTTTTCTATTAACCTAACCTCTATTCCATGAGGATAAACAAACGCAACTTTTTTTTTTCAGATGAGTTTGGTATCCATGAAGATCTTGATTTTGCTCAACTATGTATTTTATTTATTACAGGTACTTATATAGTGCTGTCAATATATGCAGTGCTTTACATATATATTGTATATTTATCAATCCCTAACCCTCAAGGGGCGTACAACCTAAGGTCCCTAACATACATTCATACACACATACTAGGGCCAGTTTAGACAGGATCCAGCTAACCTACCAGCATGTCCTTGAATTGTGGAAGGAAACTGGAGCACCCAAAGGAAACCCAAGCAGGCACAGAGAGAACATGCAAACTCCAGACAGGTGGTGCCATGGTCAGGATTTGAACCAATGACTCTAGTACTGCCAGGTGGAAGTGCTAACCATTTAGCCACTGTGCTATCCCGTATTAGTCAGCAGAAGCCACTTTGACCTACAGTATTACTGAACAAAAGCAAGTACATAACTAACCCAACCAATAAGCCTGAAGGCACTGATTTGTCTTAGCTGTCCTACGTAACATTTACACAGAACCATTTTTTCAGGGTTTTTTTATCTTGAAGCAAATATGATATTATGACTAAAAAGTTAGTTACCAAAGAAATGTTCCAATAAATACAACACTTTCTATTATACCAACATCATTGCGCCAATATAATAAAGAGAGGAAATACACTCACTGGATGCTGCTGCTATTATTAAAAAACTCAAAATAATAATAAAAATGTGAAAAATATACAAATCACAAAATAGCGCAAACCAAATCACACAACTAAATATAACCACCACCAAATAAGTGCATATTAATAGTGCAAACAAAAAATCAATAAATAGGGAATCTCAATATAGTCCATTCAGAAAAGTCCATATAAACATGATCCTCAGTAAATGAAGTAATGAGATCCTCCTTCATAAGCAATGAGGTATTCAGTGCTCAAAAATGCCCATTAAAATGCACACTCACCATGTGCTAGTAATTAACCAGCATGTCAGTATATATCCAGCATTCACCAAACAGACTTCAAAGGACGATCCTCATGTGTTGGTAATTACTCAGCATACTACTGTGTATCCAGCAAATCACCAAACAAACTCCAGAGAACATCCTCTCATATCCAGATTAGCACATGTGGGTAAAGAAAATACTCACCATAGTGCAGTATCATCCAACAAATTTATTGCCAAACAAACCCCCCTTAAAATCACACTCACAATGAGCAAATAAAAACAAGGCGTTTTGTTAGATCAGAGCTCCAGTGTCTGGATCCTGTGTCTGATATTATGCATACGACTGTTTAAAGAAGAATTCCACCCTTTGCAAAGAAAAATTGGCCTATTTTACAAAAAGCAAAAATGTGCATTTGTTACTTGCATTAGAGCCTGCAAAGCATCGGAGGTGCAATGCTCTGTCTCCTGCACACTACTGAAGTATCTACGGTGACACCACACTTGTGCTCCATTGAGAACTATGGTTTCTCTGCTGCATTGGCAGATGGGACTTGTAGTTTCTACATTCACAACTTTCTGTACACGTGGAGACACACACAACTGTGCCAATATCACATTTGACAGGAGCCTGCAGGGAGAGGAACCCTGCGATCCTGTAAAAGGTGGTGTTGGCAGTGCATGCTGACCATGTAACATGATCAGAAAGGTGGCATTATCTTTTAATTGCTTGGGGTACACCCTATATAGCAGTTTTACTGCTACACGGCAGCTGTTCTGCACAGAACCACATATATATATATACATATATATATATATATACACTATATATATATATATATATATATATAAATTCTTCATTTCCAGGTAGGGGGCACGCGTCGTCCTACCCGTGCTGTCATTGGCTCCCGTAGGTGTCAATCACTGGGACCCGACCAGCAATTCATGGCCGCGGTGATCGGCAGAGCGGATAACAGAAGAGAGATCTGTTAGTGTAACAAACACAGATCTCTCTCCTGTCAGAAGGGGACGTGCTGGTTTTTATATCTCTACAAAGCAGGGAGATAAGAACCAGCACATCTCCTAATAAAACACCCACAATGTTCAAAGTTAAATCACTCCCTAACACATACTTAACCCTTTGATCCCCCTGGATGTTAACCCCCTTCCTGCCCAGTGTTTTTATTAGCACTGATCACTGTACTAGTGTCATTGGGATGTTGGTGGCAGTTAGTCAGTTCCCAGCAGCGTCGGAATGACCGTCGTATTATCGCAGTCCTGCTATAAGTTGCTGATCGATGCCATTACTAGTATAAAAAAATTAAAATTCCAGTATATATATATCATAGTTTGTAGATGCTCTAATTTTCATGCAGGCCAAATAGTATACACTTATTGGGATTTATTTTTACCAAACACATGTAGCAGAGTACATTTTGGCCTGAATTTATAAATACTTTTTTTTTTTTTTTACTGGACATGTTTTATAGCAAAAAGAAAAAAATATTGGGTCTTTTTTTGTTTAAAGCACAAAAAATGAAAGCAAAAATCCAGCGATGATCAAATACCACAAAAATAAAGCTCTATTTGTGTGAAAAAATTCTATACATGTAATTTGTGTAGTGTTGCATGACTGCACAGATCCGAATAGCACAGCCTGGTCATGAAGGGGAGGACAAGTGGTTGACACTTCCCTATCTTCAGCCGACTGGTGGAGCCTATCAGCTACATGTCAAAAATATAGCAGGCTACTAGCTGTTTTGCTTAAAAGCCAGCCATTTACAGAGCTCAATAGCTCAAGATCCAAGTTACAAACAAAAGTGAATAGGTTAGAGCAGTGAGTCATCTCCTCTCCTCCTTTTCCCTATGTGCTATGTTTATACAGCTTCATATTCAATGTTCGTTAGAGTGACAGAAGGAAGTGAGAGAAGAGGAGAGCGAGACTGATGGTAAACAGCTTCTTTTAATCTCTGTCTTTAGAAGTTTCATGAATTCTGTGTCATGGATGTGCCCTGTATTTATTGTTAATTTTTAAAAGAAAGAAAGAGGAGGAGATATCAGGAAAGGGGACAAATATAACAGTTTCAAACTGTATGGACTAACCCCTTGCCATCGCATGTACACCTATATATGGCCTCATTGAAGTGGGTCTTCTTCCGTGAGGCTGCATATATGCGTACTTGTGTTTGTAGTGGAAGTAGCACAGCGTGCCAAAACCACAATGTGCTCCCAGCACAGAGACCAGACTCTCACTGATCCTATATAAGCCCACTCACTGCATATAGGTGAAGGTTATGACAATATAT